GGAGGATGTCACAATCACGGCACATGGTATTTTTCCTTACTCATCAGAGTTAAAAGACCTCGCTGCATGTTCTGCTTAGAAGACTCGCTCTCTCCTTGGCTTTGGGCAGAGCATCTTACCTTTCTATATACATCACCTTACATGAAAAATAAGTAAACAACTTAGAAGAGAATGTACTAAAGAACCAGTAAATAATTTTTATGATTACTAAGTTACAAATGATGTTTTAAATCCAAAATAGTTTAGATGCCAATGAGAAAAGTTGAAGACAAAACTCTCAGCTGGGCGATTGGTACTTGCGATGACCAAAATCTTTCTGCAGTGTCTGGTTTTCACGTTCCAGGAAGTCTGTCTCTTCTTATGCTGGAAGCAATAAATACATTTCCTGCTTTGGAACTCATGGCAGCTTTGAGGCAAGCCAATGTACGGTCACATTGGATGGGCTGAATCAACTTATGGTCCTAAACTGACAGGTGGTTTTGAGCAGTTCATGAGGGATTTAGTTGGTGTGCTGCAAAATGCAGCCTACAGGTCAATGATATTTGGATAAGCAGCAATTAATAACCAATGACCAATACTGTTATCCTTGTTTATGCCAGATAATGCCATTCTTTTTGAGTTGTCCAACTGAAATAAATTAAAATACTTTCAGGTTGAAGACATATTTGCTGTGAAGTAAAGGGATGATAAAATTGGCCTTGTACAATAAGTCAGATGTTTTGGTCTTTGTCAGGAGACAGTATCAGAACAAATGCACAATTACTAGGGGGACCCCAAAACCCAACATAATAGCTTTTGAATGTGTTTTCAGTTTTTCTATTATTTTCTAGAAATATTCTACCATGGTATATGGCTTGCTTCTGTTCCCACTGAAGTCAATAGCAAAATTGCCAGTGACTGATGAAAAAAGCCCATGAAAAATGTCTCAAAAGCATTGGTTTCATTTTGGTAAATTGAATTTGTTGGTCAAAAAATTAGATTTAGAATTGTTTGATTCAATCTTAGTTACAGAGACTGGTATCTCTTTACATCAATTTCTCTACATTTATTCCTTCTAACATGCTTTAAAAAAGATGTATTACCCAAATTTTAAGCCAAAATTGGAAGATAAGCTCTTAGCAATGTAGAGAAACAGAATCCAAATTCAGTGTGCAAGAACAATAACAAAAAGCTCAGTGCTAGCTCTTGCTAGTTTGCATTAATATTTTTGTTGTGCTTACAGTGCTTGTTTTCTCAAATATCCCACTTACTTTTTTTTGACTTTCAACCCTGAACTGTTTCTCTATGAGAAATTTATATATATATAAATAATACCAATTTTTATTGAAGTTGTTGTTGCTGTTAAATAGGGCAAGAAGAAATGTTTGCTTCTTGTAGTGTGAAGGGGGATGGTTTAGTTTTATGTATCTTTTTTGGGAGACTGTTATCAATAAATCAGTGTGGTTTGAGCAAGTTGTTGGTTAGGTTCAGCTCTTAATGCTTGGGCAACGCCACAGAACCACTGTGCAGTTTGGCTCAGGTGTAAGCCAGTATTTTTTTTTTTTTTTAATATGTTTCAAAAGAAAAAGTCCATACTTCACAGAATCTTAAACCTGGCAACTATTTACAGAACTGTTTTCTTGTGTACTGCTTGCTAGCATTGTGTTTGCTTCTTACAACAGCACCTACACTTCCTGAGAGCCTTAAAAACACACTTGAAGTGCCAGATCACTGTCCTCCTGTGCCAATACTAAATATAAATTTTTCCACATTAGTCAACTGAGTGAAGATCAGGTGTTTTAAAAAGGGTTAGATTTTCATTTGGCCGAAAGCTGCTCTGCTAAAAAATTTTCAGTGACCTCTTAGCTAAAAGTGACTGAAAATTTGCCCTTTTAGCTATTAAATAACTCAACTGTTCTGCACAGCTTTGTGAACTAGGATTATAATTTTTGTGTTCTAATTTTTGGAATTCGATTTTTGATTTATGTGAAAATTGCATAGACCTTGAGATACCACTGTTGGTACACCTCTTTGGCTAAAATTTGCCTAATACATTTCTAGGATATGAAAATGCTGTTAAACTAGATCAGCAGTCCCTGGTATGCTAGGATAGAAGGAAAAGCGTCTCTTTGGGTGCAACTTCATTATGTTTTCTCTCTGAAGTTCTGAAACAAATGTGCTGTGCAGCTTGTTTCTTTCTTCCTGAAACCTCTGTCTTGTAGCTGGCTCTAGCAGCTCCAGCACAACGCATCTTCTTAGGTTTCTTCTAGCAGGAACTTGTCATCCTGAAAAGAACAGAATTTGCCAAGATATTCAGGCTATGTGGGCAGCTTTTGCTGGAGAAACAGCCATGTCCTCCCAGTCATGCCACTGGGATGCTCTGTGGGCTCTGTGGATGTTATGTGGTATCTGTAATTCTATGGGAGACTCCTTGATGGAGATGGCAGCTCATCCATAAGATATGGATGAGATTCGTACTTGCAAAAGTGCTGATAACTAATAAGTGAAGTCATTCCATTTCCACAGTACAGCAAGCAGAAAAGGTGTCTGTCACTTATGAGTCATCACAGATCTCAGCTTC